TGTGAACCCAGGAGGCAGAGCTTGCAGTGAGCCGGGATCATGAGGTCAGGAGTTTGAGACCATCCCGGCTAATGTGGTGAAACCCCATCTACACTAAAAATACAAAAAATTAGCCAGGTGTGGTGGCGGGCGCCGGTAGTCCCAGCTACTCGGGAGGCTGAGGCAGGAGAATGGTGTGAACCCAGGAGGCAGAGCTTGCAGTGAGCCGAGATCACACTACTGCCTCCAGCTTGGGCACAGAGTGAGACTCTGTCTCAAAAAGAAGGAAAAAAAAAATAACAGCAAAACATACACTTTTCAAAATATATTAGAAATGAAGGAAATGGAAACTGAATTGTTAAAAAATAGAAGTGGAATCATCAAAAAATTCTCCCAATTAATTGTGATTTAGTTGTGCTTACATATAGACTCCCACCAATGGCTTATCTCTGTAGTAGTCCCTTTTTTTTTTTTTTTTTTAAAGACAGAATCTGGCTCTGTCGCCCAGGTTGGAGTGCAATGGCACGATCTCGGCTCACTGCAACCTCCGCCTCCCGAGTTCAAGCAATTCTCCTGCCTCAGCCTCCCGAGTAGCTGAGACTACAGGCACCCACCAGCACGCCCAGCTAATTTTTGTATTTTTAGTAGAGAAAGGGTTTCACCATTTTGGCCAAGATGATTTCCATCTCTTATCATCTCGTGATCCACCCACCTCAGCCTCCCAAAGTGCTAGGATTACAGGCATGAGCCACCATGCCTGGCCTGTAGTCTCTTTTTAAGGAAAAATATGAATAGAGAATTCAAGGATTTCCTTAAGGAATAACATGAGTCCTATATAGAAATGTGGATATAGGGGTTCATAGTTCATGCTGATTTATAATTACCTAATTTTTTAGTTTGAACTCTTCATTTATTCAATAGGCATTTATTTAGACTAGATGTTATAGTTAGAAAAAGAGTCATTGCCACCAAGCCCAGCCATTTTGCTGTTATTCTTAAAGATATAATGAAAAAAAGCAACATATTTCTCAAAGTGTTGTTAAAAATTAGAACTTTATTGATTTATATTACTCTGAGAATGTACACAAAGAATATCATGGTTCATGTAACAAGAGCCTCTATTTCAGAGAGAAAATACGAATAGAGATACATATAAGCACATGCCATTTAAATGTATCAAACTGTTGAGTGATAATAAAATACCATTTCAGCACTACATTTCAAACTCATAGGAAACAAGTAACAATAACCTTTAGCTTTTAAGCAAGTACTATTATAACAGAAAAGCTTTTTGGGCAGGCTGCATTTCAAAGCTCATTCCTGCATCCTAGATAACAATTTGGGGTCACTAATGTTAATATTAATATATGTATCAGATGCATGTCTTGCAAACACACACACACAAACACACACATTCATTCATTCTCATTCCCTCTCCCCTCCCTTCTCACCCTCCCATCTTTCTCTCTCCCCCCATTCCCATATATAGACATATAGTTGTATGGAGAAAGAGTACATGGAAAATAGTAGACACCAAAAACTAGCTGTGTAATCTTATAAAAGACATAAAAACCATTGAAACACTTACTTCATCAGCAACCATACACCTGGAAAAAATAAAAAAAAAAATTAATTATCAAAGTGAACTTTTTTTTTTTTTTTTGAGACAGAGTCTCGCTGTGTCACCAGGCTGGAGTGCAGTGGCGGGATCTCGGCTCACTGCAATTTCCATCTCTCAGGTTCAAGTGATTCTCCTGCCTCAACCTCCTGAGTACCTGGGGCTACAGGTGCGTGCCACCACGCCCATCTAATTTTTGTATTTTTAGTAGAGATGGGGTTTCACCATGTTGCTCAGGATGGTATCGATCTCTTGACCTCGTGTTTCGCCCACCTCAGCCTCCCAAAGTGCTGGGATTACAGGCGTGAGCAACCGTGCCTGGCCAAAGCGAACCATTTTTAAAGTTCTGATTAAGTAGCTTGCCACAAAATAGTTCATAAATACTAAAGTAGTAAGCCAGAGAGAGGTGTTTATAAGTATGAGAACATGGGTCAGGGCTGATTTTATATGACTCTCCAGCTGCCAAAGGCATATGGCTATGTGGGAGTGTTAGAGCTTCAGATGTGCTGTTCCCACAGCCTGCCCATGAAGATAGCTACAATGACCCTTCAAAAATGTGAGTAAAGTGGTAAGTGATTGTACCAATGACCACCCTCCTCATCCTTAAACCTTAAGATTGGTCTTCTCTATAAAGAGAAGAATGCTGCAATGCTGCATTAAAATGTAAGAAAATAAGTGTGAATTACATATTAGCATAAGTTAAACACATAACTACATATGCTGTAGTATATCTGCTAAGCCTACCTTTAAGCTGAGTTTTTATTTCTTTTTTTTTTTGAGACAGAGTCTTGCTCTGTCACCCAGGCTGGAGTGCAGTGGCGTGATCTCCGCTCACTGCAAGCTCTGCCTCCTGGGTTCACACCGTTCTCCTGCCTCAAACTCCGAAGTAGCTGGGACTACAAGCACCCGCCACCACGCCCGGCTAGTTTTTTGTAGTTTTAGTAGAGACGGGGTTTCACCGTGTTAGCCAGGATGGTCTTGATCTCCTGACCTCATGATCTGCCCACCTCGGCCTCCCAAAGTGCTGGGATTCCAGGCGTGAGCCACTGCGCCCAGTCACTGAGTTTTTATTTCTATCACTTTGCTAAACTTTATTTTCTCAGTTCTTCCTTATTAACCTATAGAAACAAATTCTATGCAATGATAATTGAGGATGGGGCATAAACTCAAGTATAAAGTAGCAGAAAAACAAAGGGCAAAGGGAAAGAAGAGCAGGCATGGTCAGGATTACCAGGTGTTCCTTTGAGACAGCAAACATATGATAAGGGAGAAAACCAATCCCTTAACTGAGGATATTTCCAGACAACCTAAAAAAAGTGCTGGAATATTTAAAAAATTGGCAAGAGGCCAGGTACAGTGGCTCATGCCTGTTATCCCAGTGCCTCAGGAGGGTGAGGTGGGAGGACGGATTGAGACCAGGAATTGGAAGCTACGCTGAGCTGTGAATGTCCCACTGTACTCCAGCCTGGACAACAGGGGGAGACCCTATCTCTGAAACAAAGCAAAACAAAACTAAAAAAAAAAAAAAAAAAAAAGGCAGGAAAAAAACTACTTTTTCTATTTTATTCTTCCTTTATTCCCAGTAGTCCTGACATTATATAATCTTATAAGATTGATTTCTCTATATAAAATACAAATTATGGCTGGGCACGGTGGCTAATGCCTGTAATCCCAGCACTTTGGGAAGGCGAGGAGAGTGGATCACCTGAGGTCAGGAGTACAAGACCAGCCTGGCCAACATGGTGAAACCCCGTCTGTACTAAAAATAAAAAATTAGCCAGGTGTGATGGCACGCCCCTATAGTCCCAGCTACTTGAGAGGCTGAGGCAGAAGAAACGCTTGAACCTGGGAGGCAGAGGTTGCAGTGATGAGCCAAGATCATGCCACTGCACTCCAGCTTGGGCAACAGAGTGAGATTCCATCTCAAAAACAACAACAACAACAAATTAAGCATTTGGAGTAAATATATAACCAAGGAATACATTACAGTTAAATGAAAATGAAATTTCATTATTCAAAAAATTTCATTATTCGGTCAGCTTACCGAACAAATATGTTTTTTGGTTTCTTTGTTTTGAGACAGTCTCCCTTTGTCACTCAGGCTAGAGGGCAGTGGCATGATCACAGCTCACTGCAGTCTTGACCTGTAATGATCCTTCCACCTCAGCCTCCAAAGTAGCTGGGACTACAGGTGTGTGCCACCACACCCAGCTAATTTTTTTATTTGTAGAGACAGGGTTTCACTATGTTGTTCAGGTTGGTCTAGAACTCCTGGACTCATGTGATCCACCCATCTAGGCCTCCCAAACTGCTGAGATTATAGGCATGAGCCACTGCACCGGGCCCCAGTAAATATCTTTATAAAAAATAAAATTCAAATACTTTAATGGAAATTTAAAACATATGTAAGAGTAAAAAAATTTATTACGTTCTTTGTAAACAAGTTGAGAGACTAGAAAACTAAAAAGCAATACTTGGAAAAACATGATTTTTTTTTTTTCCGGGAAGATTCATGTATAGATTTCAAAGCAAAATGAGAACATGAATTTTTTTTTTAAGATGATCATTATTGACAGCTAAATAAAGAGACTGGAAGATGCAGTACATGGATTATCTCAAAGCACAGAACAGGAAGCTAAATAAATGGAAATACTGAAGGAATAGAAAGACTTGAAGATAGTCCCAAAAGACCTATTTTACAAAATACAGGTGTTCAAAAAGAGAAAAAGCACCAGATGGAGGAGAGGTAACGATTAAGTAAATAATAAAGGAAAATTTCTCTGGGCTAGCTTTTGGTCGATAAGTGAAAAGGGAAACCAAGTTTCAGGATGGATTAAAGAGAAAAGACAAGTATCTATTTTACCCTTGTAAAATTCATTAATTTTACAAATAAAGAAAAAATCTTACAAGTGTCCAGAAAGAAAGAAAAATTATCCATAAAGGGAAAACTAGGACGGGTACTGGACTAATCATCAACTCTAGAAGCTAGAATACAATGCAACAGGATCTAAACTAACTGAAACAAAAAGCAGCAGAAGTCATGAATCTTTTTATTTTCAGATGGAGTCTCACTCTGTTGTCCTGGCTGCAGTGCAATGGCATGATCTTGGCTCAATGAAACCTCTGCCTCCCGGGTTCAAGCGATTCTCCTGCCTCAGCCTCCCGAGTAGCTGGGATTATAGGTGCTCGCCACCATGCCCAGCTAATTTTTGTATATATATATATATTTTTTTTTTAGTAGAGACGGGGTTTCACTACAGTGGCCAGGCTGGTCTCAAACTCCTGATCTCATGATCTGCCCGCCTTGGCCTCCCAAAGTGCTGGGATTACAGGCGTGAGCCACCGTGCCCAGCCTAGAAGTTACGAATCTTATACTCAGCCGAGATATCCCCGATTGGTTACGGGATGGCAAAAAGATGTTTGAGGCTATTCAAGATTACCAAAATTACACCACTAAAGCAAACTATCTCAGTAAAAATACTTGAGAAAATAACCAAACAATAAAAACATCTTAACATAGATTCAAGATAGAAGAAAATGAAAGGGAATCTGGTAAGCAATGAAGCTTGATATGTGATAATTTAGTGGACCACATATACTCTAAATAAAGACTCTAGAAACAGAAGGGACATAATCCAAAAATCTGAATATGCAAAACTGAAGGGAGGTAAGGAGATGGGAAGCTGAAATTACTCTAAAGCAAAATAGATGATATTTTAGTCGAGGGACTAGCTGTGATCACCTAGGAAGGAAGAGTATAGAGAGAAGGGAAGAGGAAAAGGGGAGCTTATATAGAGGAAAAAACATAATAAGGTATAGTTAACACTACTATACTGTAAAATTAAAATGGTTAAGGTAGTAAATTTTACATTGTGTTTTTTTACCACAAGGCAAAAAAAGCCTTGGAGAACTACAACGAGAGGTCAAGAGAGGGGAAGAATCCAGCAAAAGAGAATGAGAAGGAATGTCCAGTTATGTAAAAGATACTAAGCTGCGTGTAGTGGCTTATGTCCATAATCCCAGTGCTTTGGGAGGCTGAGGCAGGGTTGCTTGAATGGAGGACTGAGATCAGCCTGGACAACACAACATGACCCTGTCTCTACAAAAAAAAAAAAAAAAAGTACACTCTTCACAGAAACAGAAAACACAACTCTAAAATTTATATGGAACCACAAAAGACCCAGAATAGCCAAAGCCATCCTGAGCAAAAAGAACAAAACTGGAGGAATCACATTACCTGACTTCAAATTGTACTACAGAGCTACTGTCACCAGCAAGGTACTAGCATAAATACAGACACACAGACCAAAGGAACAGAATAGAGAACCCAGAAACAAATCCATACATGTACAGTGAACTCATTTTGGACAAAGCTGTCAAAAACATATACTGGGAGAAAGGACAGTCTCTTCAATAAATGGTGCTGGAAAACTGGATATTCACACGCAGAAGAATTAAATCAGACCCCTATCTCTCACCATAAACAAAAATCAAATCAAAATGGATTAAAGACTTAAATCTAAGACCTCAAATCAGGAAACACTGAAGTGATGCTCCAGGACACAAGAATGGGCAAAGGTTTCTTTTTTTTCTTTTTTCTTTTTTTTTTTTTGAGACACAGTTTCACTCTGTCACCCAGGCTGGAGTGCAGGGGTGCAATCTTGGCTCACTACAACCCCTGCCTCCCACATTCAAGTGATTCTCATGTCTCAGCCTCCCGAGTAGCTAGGACTACAGGTGCACACCACCACACCCGGATAATTTTTGTATTTTTAGTAGAGACACGGATTCACCATTTTGGCCAGGCTGATCTCAAACTCCTGACCTCAAATGATCCACCTGCCTTGGCCTCCCAAAGTGCTGGGATTACAGGGGTGAACCACGGTGCCTGGCTGGGCAAAGGTTTCTTGAGTAATATCCCACAAACACAGGCAACTAAATAAAATGGACAAATGGGATCATATCAAGTTAAAATGTTTCTGCACACAA